GTGAGCTCACCTCGTAAACTGAACGTTGTAGGTTCAATTCCTGGTGGGTCGTGTTTGCATATTGCTGTAGAATACAAAGATAGAATGAAACAATTATCCAGCACTCCCTCATTCCTAGTAGTGTTTTAAATTATGTCACTTCATAATTAGACTAAAAGCGTATTAGCTTGCTTAATGGGAAGCGTGTGTTCTTAACCTGTGTGATAACAAACAGGAAGCCATAAATACGTTTCATCCCAGCCAATGAAATAAAGCATTCATATTCTAAAATATTTCAAGACAGTTTTATTCTACAGTTTCAAAATCAATGAATGAAATCCATTCACAGGTAGAAGTTAGACACAAACATCCACTGGAAACCAAAGATTACCTAATAGTCCGATAGTTCACATTCACAAAGGCATACCTCGTCAGGCTGAAAAATCTTAGATTTAATTATGAAGATGTTACCGTTGAGCAACTGGGATCTCGGATCAGTTTACTACTCACTGTGCAGTGGTAACAATCAAATAAAACGTAGTGACCGTATTCGAAGTATCCCTACTATCATAGACTACAGCATCGAGTCAATATCTTCCAATATCTCAGAGATGCAAAACTGCTAATGTTTACTCTATTACACAACATAAGCTCACATTTATTAATTTCATATCTTGCTCTGTCTAACCACTCCTAATTTCTAAGGGAACATATGTACTTCATTTAACATTACTGGTTGAGAAAATTAGATTTTCAGGATGTATAAATTCACTTTGAGTCGACTCATCCCAACTCACCTTATCAAATGAATTGAAGAGATGCATTTCTGAGTCTAATGAGTAGATATGTCTAGTGTGGAGTAGTGTGAAGCATTTCACAGCCACCATTTTCAGACAGCTGAAGGTGATCAGTAATAATCAGTCGAAATCGGCTTTTCATTGACACCCTTGATTGACAGTCGCATGATGTTCATACTATGTATTGTTCAGAGATCTTGTAAACGACTGATGAGTTATAGATGAAGAACTGTGAAGAATTGTAGGGTGCAGCAGGTCGGGTGTGAGGACAAATACTCCCCGAAGACATTGACTAGGGGTCGCGCTATGTCGTGAATTGGCAGAAGTTAGAATTCACGGGCCATTGGATCGGGTCCCAGTGGCTTAATGGTATACGAGCTCGCCTTGTAAACCAGAAGGTCCTGGATTCGAATCCCGGTGGGTGCGTACAGATGAAGAGTCCCAAACTAGGACGGAGGAAACAGCTGTCCAGTACTCCCAGGTTTTCCAATGGTTCTGTAATTAATGTCAGCTTATGACGAAAATCCTGTAACCAATCAAATTCCTACAAACCAACACTTGAAGAATTGTTCTGTTCGTGCATTTCACTCTGTTTCAAATACATCAGCTACTGGATGCAGACACATTTCAGTGAACGATAAAAATACTTCCGATCTCAGTTAGCTTTACATAAATCATGAGGATAAAATCTATAGATCAAGCCTTTCAACCGTTTTTTGGCCGAAAACATGCACACAGGAGCTACAGGCTATGGGACGGAGTCGGAAGATCGATGATGAATCACTGAAAGATGTTCAAGGACATCAGCAACTGTATGATTATTAGTGTTATTAACCGATTCCATTCTGAAAGTGTAATTTATAGATCCTTTCGATTACAACAAAGTTGGCACTGAGACATTTAGAACTTGGGTATTTTATGACGAAAACACAGTTAGACTCCATAATCTTTTGGTTGATTAACTGAATAGTATGGAAGAGAACAAAGGCACTTCATGCTTCTGAACTTATATATATATATATATCTTAATTGTGATTCTATTGATATTATAAGCTCTTGGATGATGGAGATGTATCAAGTTAACCGGACTACTAATCGCCTTGATATATTCTGAGATCGACTCTACTAAACCTGAGTCCTGAACAGTCACCAGTGAAGACTATTAGCTTCCAACTGACGTTTTTGAGTGAATCAGTCATCTTCAGTGTAATCCTTAGTGATGAAAGACTTTTGTAGACTCAAGAAATCCTGAACTCCAAGGTAGATTTCCTCATGAACCAATCACTCAGGGAACTATTGACAATCAGGGAGCATTAAATAGTTTAGCACCTTTACGTAATACGCAATCATCAGTCTTTCAGGAACCATCCTTAACACATTTCAGTTACTAGTCATGCTTATCACTGTTAAGTCAGTGGATCAGCTCGATCTTATGTCTTCTTAAGGAGATCAACCAGATCCCTGCTACTTCCATTATGGGTAAATTTTGTTTTGATAGTCTCACAGTGTTATACAGTAATGTTTACTGATGACGTTTCGAGCACAATTTATTACTGCTCGTAATCATATCAAGGTAATCACACGACTTCCTAAATTCATTTATATAGTTCCATTGTTTTTCACTTGATTTTCACTTGATCTGATTGATAGTAATATTTTCCATATTTCAGGGATGAGTGATGAATCATCCCTATTACATGTGTTGAGTGTAGATTCGATGAACAAGGATTCAGTAATCAACCTCTCTCCTCTCCACCTACCTAGATTACTTTTTAGAATTTTAACCCTCTCCCACTCTATTGTGTGGTTGTGTGTAATGCAAGCAGTGCAATTGCTGAGTGTTTTTCTAAATTACTTATCTTCAAGGGTCAACCATTCTTACCTTAGATAAATTCTTATGTTCTGACAATCTGACTAACCCCAACCTACTAGTTTGACCTATGTAGTTGACCTGACAGTCATTGCAGGGTATTTTGTAAATTATATTATTATATATGACCCAGAGAAGATAAGTAATTTAGAAAAAAGCTCAGCAATTGCAATGCATGCATTAGCACACAACCACACAATAGAGTGGGAGAGGGTTGAAATTCTAAAAAGTAATCTAGGTAGGTGGAGAGGGAGAGAGGTTGATTACTGAATCCTTGTTCATCGAATCTACACCCAACACATGCAATAGGAATGAATCATCACTCATACCCGAAATATGGAAAATATTACTACCAATCAAATCAAGTGAAAATCAAGTGAAAAACAATGGAACTATATAAATGAATTTAGGAAGTCGTGTGATTACCTTGATATGATTATGAGTGGCAATAAATTGTGCTCGAAACGTGTCATCAGTAAACATTACTGTATAACAACACTGTGAGACTTTATCAAAATAAAATTTACCCATAATGGAATTACACTCTACACCACAGTGCATAAGTTTTATTCTTATATCAGATCCTTGCTAAATTAACATATGGAAAAGCTCAAATTATTCAAATTCGTTTAATTATGTATCAATATTTGCGGAGTTATATCTCTCTTCTCTGACAGAGGAATTTATTTCTGCGCAAATAAATTTAGTAGCTTACATAAGTGGTTTAAAAGGATCTGACACTGTTGCTTATTCTGTGGAAAAGTAACTAAACAGTAGAGTATGTAGTAAAATGTTTTGTCTAACGCTGCGTGTATCGGAATTACGGTGATGTCTGCTACGAGGGACAACCAATCTGTTTTTGGTAATTCTTTAATTTGGCTTTTATTTTGAAGGAATTCACTATGTAGCCCTTGGAGTTAAAGACTGGCAACTTATTTTCCAACTTTCTGAGGAACTGCTTTCAAGTTAACTTTTTACAGATGATTAACTACACGAACTAACAGATAATTGGGAAGACCTTCCACTGATAACTGATTTTTCCTTTTATATGCTTATTTGTCATATAGGAGACTGCTAATAGTACGTAGTAGAAGAGAATGATAAATATATCATAATTTCAGCTAATATGTTTAGTTTTCAAGTATTGGTTTTGTAGGGATTTTGTTTGATTGCGTGGAGAATTTCATCATGAGCTGACATCAGTTAGAGAACCACTGGAAAACCTGGGAGTACTGGACAGCTGTTTCGTCCTAGTTTGGGACTCATCAGCAGTACGCACCCACCGGGATTCGAACCCAGGACCTTCTGGTTACAAGGCGAGCTCGTAGACCATTGAGCCACTGGGACCCGATCCAATGGTCCTTGAATTCTAACTTCTGCCAATTCACGACATAGCGCGACCATTTCGCAATGTCTTCTTAGATGAGTTACTGCCTCATCTCCAACCTGCTGTACCCTACTGGTCACGGCTTCCCACTAGAACCCCAGGTTAACTGCCTGAATAGGGCCAGTCACTAGTGAGCATTAGATTAATTTAGGGTTGTAAGTGGAAATGTGAGTCACAAGTCTAGGCAGATGACTCCCATCTCCACCCACTTGTGTAGTATTGTAATTAGCACTTGCATAGAGGGCTTGACTCATTACCAACTAGACGGAAATTCAAGTGATTGTTGAGTAAAATTGGCCTTGCCTAGAGTTATAAAAGCTGGTTATTTACATGCTCACATGTACTCAGTTCAATAAAAGTTCCTCTCACGTTTGATGGCAGACTGATGTCAGTTAGACAACCAACCACTGGTTACCAGGGAGTATTGAACAGCTGTTTCGTCCTCATTTAGGACTCTTCAGTAGTAAGTGTGTCGCCACTGGGGTTCAAACCTTAGATCTTTCGATTACAAGTTGAACTCACAGATCATTCAGTCACTGTGACCCGATCCAATAGTCCATGAATTCCAACTTCTACAATTTGTGATGACTTAGAGCGACCACTTGGAAGTGTTCTCGGTAAGTGTTTTGTCCTCATTCACGACCTAGTGAACCCCAACGGTCCCGACTTCCCACCAGAACTCCGGGCAACTTAGTTCTGTATGCAGTCACCAGCGAGCGTCAGACTAATTTTTAAGTGTTAGTTTATTTCAAGTTTGATCATGGACAGATGTCAGTTAGAAAACTCCCTGGTTATAAATGTTTATCTAACTGACATACATCCGTGATCAGGCTTGAAACAGATCAAATCCATGCAAAAACTAACCCTTGAAAAGCTTTTTTTATATTGTCAACATTTTTGTCTTGACACTAGATAAATCATTCTAATAATTTTCTCGTATTTGTTTTCTTTCTTTCTCAATAATCAGCCTTATGGTGGTGCTCTGTTGAAAATTGAATGGGATTATAATAATCCTGGTTCTCTGCTGGAGAATGGACAAGCATGTGATCGTGTTGGAGCCCCAGAATGTGATGTTTACTTCACTCTGTGTCTGAGAAATGCAGCCTCTGTAACAACTGAGTGACTTAATATCTTTTGATGAACATAATCGGCTAATTTTAATGATCTTGTTTTCTGTAGATTTATTTTTAGGGGTTCGTTTGCAGGAATTTAATTGATTTATAATTGGATCACAAACTGACTTCAGTTGGGGAGGTATTTCAAAAAACTATCTTAGTTTCGCTCTGACAACCCCACCAGCGTTCAAACTAAGTATCTTCAGGTTATGAATTCAGCCTGTTGATCAACGGGATCCAGTCCCTACAAACCAAAACTTTGGAATCAGTGTCATACACACTGATGGCTCACTATGGAATATAGAACTCCTGGATTTAAAATGTAAAGACATGACCACTGGAATCCAAAAAGTCGTATGTGACGATAGATACTCGCTGATGACGTTGACTGTAGGTGGCGATTTATATTGCGAATCGGCACAAGTTAGGATTTCAAAAACTTCATGCAATTCTTCCCATTAATAAACTTGAACAAAGCAAGAAGAACAATTGTACCAGGATAATATGAGCTCATCTTTTATTATTTCGAGGATTCTTCTCAACTGGTTACAACCTGAACGATAAAAAATTTGAATCACATTACATTAAAGATTTGAACATACTTTTCCACGATCACAAGGAGTAATTGGTAGGAAGTAAAAGTAACATTAGTCCGGAATGATTTAACTAATTAAGAGTTACAAACACTGACTATTTATAGAATAATTCAAATGAACTGTGATCAATATTTGACAGTTTATAAATATTTATAGAATAATTAGGCAATTAGGCTTGGAAACAAAAACAGAGTTTCATACATTTTCCCTTGATAAATTTCGATAGAGAAAGAAAGACCAAATTTGCAGTATAAAATGATATCATTCTATTTCACAGGTTCTCATCAGCTGCAAACTCCTGAAATTACAATGGTTATAAAATCAAGAATATTATACACAATTATTACTATCAAAGGTTGCATATATATATGTATAGAAACAAGGTTTAGCTAGACAGAGCATAACAAAAAGGTAGATTACGTAACTAAAGAAAATGCTTTATCTAATAGCCAATAGAAAAAAAAGGAAGAGAAAAGAACAAGAAAGGGTGAGTCATGTTTAGATGAGAGAGTAGAGTTTTCTAAACAAGAAAAAGGTGACTCATACAAGTTGCATATTTTGTTGTCACCAGGGCAGTGCGAGATTCACCACTGTCTCTTTCTGCGTACATAGATTTGGTTTAAGTCGTTTGATAGCAATTGCTTCAGCAAAGCGTAGCAAGTTAGGTTTCTTTTGGTTGTTGATTATTTTGAATGACTTCAAGTTGTCTACAAGTTAGGATTGATGGGCTATTTGATTCCATCCTGTTGGTTGATCAATCCATGTGCTTGCTTCGCAGCCTGAAGTTTCTGAGTTCGATCCCAGTGGGATCATACGTATGTTCTTCAAAGTGGTCACAAAATGCGATGGAACTGCTGTTCAGCATTCATTGGTTCTCTGAATTCTCTCACTTCTTGGTGTGACCTGGAAATTCGCCATCATTTTAGCCTCATCTTTCATCCTTTCAGAAACATGGTCTATGTTTCATCATGAAATTTTCAGTTTTTTTTCAATTTTCAACTTAAGTTAAGGCATATTATAGCTGCAGTTATATAAATAAGAGTTAATAAGTAATCAGAATACTGGTAATTGTTATTATTATGATATATTATTTTCTCCTTTCATTCCTAGAGGAACATAGGGCTTCAGCCACGCGTCTCCATTGCCTTCCGTTCTCTGCTAGAGTCTTCACCTCGCTCCAAGTCTGCCCACACGCTTTCATCTCCTCTTCACATCACCTCCTCCAAGTCACCCACCCTCACACTGACGACCAACTCGCCGCTTCCCTTTCGGGTTCCACTCGAGCAATGGCTTGTCTAGTGATGTCACTTGATGCATTGTTTTCTCAGAGTATGGCCAGCCAATCCATCTCCATTTCTTCCTGCCTATTTGTTTCACAATCGGTTCCTGGTTGGTTCGCTCATTGCCAGAGATCCTCTCTGTTGCTGATCTTTTCTGGCCAGCCATCTGATCTTGAGTGGTATTGAGCGAAGACAACTGTTGATGAAGGTCTGTAGTTTGTTTGAGATGCTCTTTATGACGCGCAGTGCAAGTCTCTGATCCGAATAGTGAGTAGCACTGACTGAATTCACATTGGAGTTGAAAATCCGGATCTTATCTTCGTTTTGATGCTGAGTGCTGTTGACCTCCACACAGACTTGAGAGTAATGAAAGCTTGTCTTGCTTTCCCAATCCTTGCTTTGATATCCTCATCAGTTCTGTCCACCTGTAGTTGAAACGATGCTCCCCAGGTAGGTAGGTGTAGAAGAGGTTGTTTCTTTCAGGTTCCTCCCATTTATGCTGATTGTTGTCTGTTGTTGTTGCTGTTGGTGGTGTTGCCCAGGAATCTTCATCACCTCTGTTTTCTCTGTGTTCACCTGAAGGAAGTCCTATCTTCTCCGGATGCTTCTTGTGCCAACTTGTTGCTTTTTGCTTGCATATCTTCCAGTTTGTGGGAACTCAGACATATACCATCGGCGAAGTTCAGATCCTCCAAGTTTTTTTGTGTGAGTCCATTTTATGCCTGTTTTCTCATTGCCCGCCGCTGTTTGTCGCATTATCCAATCTACTGCAATCAGGAAAATCATTGGCGATAGTAGGCAGCCAGCTTGTCTTACTCCTGTCCTCACTTCGAAGGATTCCGTGAGTTTCCCGTTGTGGATTACTTGGCATGCAGCATTGTCGTACAGCTGTTGGATGAGATGTATAATTGTCGGTGGCACCCTGTAGAAGTTGAGTTATACGAAAATTTCGACAGCTATACAATGGATATCACTGACCATTAATCAGTAGTATAAGGTTGTTTGAAACAACTTTGGACTGATAGGCTACCTTTTGATATGATTAGTAATGACTTAAAAATAAGATAAGTAATTTAGGTTGACGTAGGATTCGTACCCTAGGCCTCTAGATTACTTGCCCATCGTTCAGCTATATGAGCCGCTAGTCCAAATAACGCGGAGACCCAGGTTTTTCATTTCATCTTCACTGCACTGATTTCATGATTCACTATAATCTCTACAATTATATTAATGTTGAAATAGGTTGTATTTTGAAGTTACTCTATGTGTAGTTATTTATCACAGTTCCATAAACGATAAGTTCAGGCATTAAACGAAGGAAGTAACGGGTAGTTGTCATTAAAAAGGGAATTCATCAGGCTAATCATTTACCTTCGGGACTTTTTGTCTAGGGTTCCTTCCTGCAGTGAATGTCTGAGGAGGCGAGCTGGATGGCTGAAGACCGTTTAACTCGTTTGAGGTGATTCTAGCCACCGAAACCAAATTTCTGGAGTTTGAATGATAGAAATAAATCTTCATGTTCTACTGCATAGCTAACCAAATGTTCTTTGAGTAATACACAGACCCAAGAGGCCTATTGGGCAAAAGTTTGACACAAATTAGGCCGGTGAAGGATGACAATGGAAAGTCACTCACCTAAGAAGTGGAGCAGAGGAAACACTGGGCTGAACACTTCAAAAGACTCCTGAATCGACCGCCACCTACAACGCGCCCAACAATACCAACAACGGAAGCAGAATTACCAGTGAATACCAACCCCCCAACGAAATCAGAAGTCCTGAAGGCAATCAAGATGCTAAAAGCTGGAAAAGCAGCAGGACCAGATGGAATCCCAGCAGAAGCATTGAAAATTGATCCAGAGACAACAGCGGACTTGATGACGCCACTACTGGAGAAGGTGTGGAAAGAAGGCAAAGTACCTGAGGATTGAAAGAAAGGATACTCATTCAAACTCCCAAAGAAAGGAGACCTAAGTCAATGCAAGAACTGGCGCGGAATTATACTCCTGTCCACCTAAGCAAAATATTAGCTGCATCATCCTGGAGAGAATCAAACACGCCAATCTGGATGAAAAACTTCGACCGGAACAGGTTAGATTCAGGAGAAACAAGTCATATGTAGATCAAATCGCCACATTACGAATCATCATTGAACAAAAATTGGAGGATCTGGACTTCACCTATGATGTATGTCTGATTTCCCACGAACTGGAAGATATGCAAGTGAAAAGCAACAAGTTGGCACAAGAAGCATCTAGGGAAGATAGGACTTCAGGTGAACATAGAGAAAACAGAGGTGATGAAGATTCCTGGGCAACACCACCAACAGCAACAACAACAACAACAGACAACAATCAGCCAGCATAAATGGAAGGAACCTGAAAGAAACAACCTCTTTTACTACCTACCTACCTGGGAAGCATCGTTTCAACTACAGGCGCACGGAACTGACGAGGATATCAAAACAGCGAGGATCGGGAAGCAAGACAAGCTTTCATTACTCTCAAGTCTGTGTGCAGGAGGTCAACAGCTACTCAGCATCAAAACGAAGATAAGATCCGGATTTTCAACTCCAATGTGAAGTCAGTCAGTGCTACTCACTATACGGATCAGAGACTTGCACTGCGCGTCATAAAGAGCATCTCAAACAAACTACAGACCTTCATCAACAGTTGTCTTCGCTCAATACCACTCAAGATCAGATGGCCGGCCAGAAAAGATCAGCAACAGAGAGGGATCTCTGGCAATGAGCGAACCAACTCAGCAGGAACCGATTGTGAAACAAATAGGCAGGCAGGAAGAAATGGAGATGGATTGGCTGGCCATACTCTGAGGAAACAAACCATCAAGTGAGGACATCACTAGACAAGCCATTGCTCGAGTGGAACCCGACTGTATTGGGAGCGGCGAGTTGGTCGTCAGTGCGAGGGTGGGTGACTTGGAGGAGGTCATGTGAAGAAGAGATGAAAACGTGTGGGCAGACTTGGAGCCAGGTGAAGACTGTAGCAGAGAACCGAACGCAATGGAGACGCACGGCTGAAGCCCTATGTTCCTCTAAGAATTAAAGGAAACAGTAACAATAATAATAATTGCTAGTGCACTGCTGAACTGCGGAAGCAGTATTCAGACGACAACACCAACAAATACAATGATCCTAACTGTGAGAATGATATTCCATTGGAACCCCACAGAGGTGAATAGTTGCATATCACTCA